TTTTCAGGCGCAATTTCTCCACTTTCCAATTCGTACTGTGGCCAAGCAACATTACAAAAGAAAATAATTTTCTTTTTCTTTCCATCTTCTGCCTTAAAGAAACCTTAATTTWAAAAAAAAATACACCCGAAAAAGGGAATTGGTTGGAAAAGAGATTGAGTTGCCCAGAGGTAAATTTCCAATAGCACCCTGGAAGCTCACCTCTGTGTGTTCTGAAAGAGAAGAAACAAAGCAAAACAGGATACTAGTAAGTTCCTAACCCTGGGTTAGAAAAGCTGCCCCATTCCTTCTGTAATTCACCAGGGTTTCCAGGGTCCTCGGCCTCAATCAGCAAATATTTTCAGCTGTCTCTGGAAATTTTACAGGATCCTATAAGGCTGTTCCAAATCCTTCATGAGTACCCTTAACAAAGACAAAAGGTACACACTGAGAGCCAGGTCCAGTGGCGCAYACCTGTAATCCCAGTGGCTCAGAAGGCTGAGGCAGAAGTTCAAAGCCAGCCTCTGCAATAGTGAGGCACTAAGCAACTCAGTGAGATTCTTCCTCTAAATAAAATACAAAAAAAAAAAAAAAAGGACTGTGGATGTGGCTCAGCGGTTGAGTGCCCCTGAGTTCAATCCCTGGTACCCCGACCCCCCCCCAAAAAAAAAATACAAAAGGCTGGGTCTTCACCCTTTTATGAAGAAAGAAAGAAAGGCCCTGATATCTTTTGCAACCTAAATATGCCAGGCTATTAAGAATTCTTTAAAAGAGCAATTATACAGAGACCTTGTGAGTATTCTTGAATTGGGTTTGGGGAGTTCCCTCTGAACTAGCCATAGTCAAATAGAATCCACAGAAGAGGACTTATTAGGAACAGAGGGACCAACTGGCATCATGCCTTGAGACAATTTTTCCTGAAAGATACTTTCAAAACATAGTACATGTTGGAGCAATGCTAGTGTTGCTCCCAAAGGTGGAGCTGTTGTTTGTTTAAAAAAGGAAGCAGAGGCAGAGGAGGAGGAGGAGGAGGAGGAGAGGAAGAGGAAGGAAAAGGAGAAGGATAAAAGGAGAAAGAGAAGGAAAGAGAGAAAAATTTTGTGACAGCCGGTGTGGTAGCACACACCTGTAATCCCAGCAACTCAGGAGGCTGAGACAGGAGGATCACAAATTCCAGGCCATCTTCAGCACCTTAGTGAGACACTGTCTCGAAATAAAAAAGGCTGAGGATGTAGTTCAGGCACAGCACTTGCCCACCATGCATGAGGCCCTGGATTCAAACCTCAGGGATTGCAAAAAAAAAAAAAAAAAAAAAAGTAAATTTAAATTTAAGAAAAAAGAAAGTACATTTTATTTGCAGAGGCTTAAAACATGAGTTCATACTGTGAACAGAAGGAAGGGAGAGAAGAAAAAGACGGCAGGCCAGAGACAAATTTTTAGCATTATAGGAGAAAAGAATGTAACATAACATAAATAAGCGTTTTGAATCCAGAGTGTGCTGTTTGATGGAGACACTTTCTCTGATTTTCAGGTCAGAGCCGGGTTACCCCAACATGGGTCACATGAAATTAGACAAGGAAACCAGCTTGGCGCATAGGAGGATCAGGCCTTATATGGATGTCCCCCAGGACAGCCTTTTTAGTCTCCTCTGATCCAGGAGCTAGGTATGTTGTGCTGAAGGATGCCCTGCTGAGGCCACTCATTGTCTGTGGGGAATTTCCCTGTCACCTTTTGTCCCCTTTGGTTTTGGTCAAAGGGAGCAAGTACTTCTTCTTTTCAGCACCTTCAATGCCAAGCACTCATTTTCTAGGAATGTAGGAGTCTCTGGGGTGGAGAAACTAGGAGTGCAGAGGTTCCTAGGGATGCCATGCAATTAAAAGGCCAAAGCTAAGAGAAAGGGAAAGCATTTTGCAATGCCTCAGTTTATAGTCTCTTTGTGGTTGCCAAAAGAATGTCACCAGACAGGGGTCCAAGGAGATCCCTCCAAGGGGCAATGGAAACTCAACTCATTCCAAGTGGGTTCTTGATTGACAGAAGCAAGGCATAAGGAGATATCTATATCTAAATAGCTAAAGGATAGCAAAGGTAGACATACCCCAAAGACAGGTAAGTACGTGTGCCCCTCGCCTGTCAGAGAGGAGAAATTGAGTGTCAGGGTTGAGCTCTGTGCTCCATGCTTGAAGATCCAGGTCTACTAAGGGTCTCTTTTTCTTTCTCCCAGAGAGCCCACCTGTCTCGTTTCTATAGTCCCCATTATGCTCAGGATGAAGCGCCAGCTCCCTAGTATGATCTGACATCTACCAACCTGTCCAGCCTCACCCCTTACATTCCAAACTCCAGTCCTCCCCAGCCACCTGCATTTCCCAAGACAGCCATGCTTTCTTGGCCCTGGACCCTTCCCATGTCGTCCTGTCTGCATGATATCTCTCCAGCTCACTCTGTCAGGTCCCCACTCAGGCATCAGCTCCTCCCTCCCAGGTGCCCTTGCGTGGCTCTCTCCATCTCAATACTGGCTGCAGCTCTGGTTCTACCAGCTGCTCGCTAGTCTTCTCTCTCTCCCTAAGGACACGGGTTGTGACTTTTGTTCCAGATCCCCAGCATCTAGCACATCTAGTTCCCCCAGAGGAACCTCTCATTGCTCGTTAGTGGGATGGAAGGGAGGAGAAAATGGATGGACATTCTTCAACCGACACCTTCCACAAATTTCCAAGGTCATAAAGCAACATGGAGCCTTTGAACTGCAAGCCATTTTGTAAAGATCAAGTTCAGGTGGGCAGAATCTTGGAAGAGAAGGAAGCCCTGGACTGAGGGAGTTCAGGGTGAGCACTGGGAGAAGCTGGATGCAAGGAACAGTTTCCCCTGGAGATTTCACAAGCTGGAGGAAGTTCCCTGGGTGGGTTGCTCCTCTGAGGAATGTGAACTTGCATAAACAACCTTTGGAACACTGATAAGAGACCAGGAGCTTGAATGTCTGCAGAATGTGAACATATTTGGGGTAGAGGGGGGATGAAGCAGGGCTACTCTCCCTGCTGTAGTGATTTTTTGTTTGTTTGTTTGGGGACACTCAGTTCTAGGGCCCATGGCTAGCAGCCCCTAYTTGGACAAAGTCATGGTAACTGAGGGGGTACCACATAAGTCAACTACATCGGAGCACGGGAACTCCTGGGGACAGAAAGATTGGCATTGGCTTGTCGGAACCAGGTGCACGCCTGGGCATTTCACACATACCTTTTCATTTGACTGACATACCAACCCAATGAGAAAACTAAGGACCAAGGAGGTTAAAAAACTTGTCCAAGCTCACACAGTGAAAGACATTTCCAGGCATGGTGGCATACTTCTGTAGTGCCAGCTACTCAAGAGGCTGAGGCAAGAGGACTGCAAGTTCAAGGCCAGCCTCAGCAACTAAGTAAGACCCTATCTTGAATTTTATTAAAATGTAGCTCAGTAGTAATGCACTTGCCTAGTGTGTGAGAGGCCCTGGGTTCAATTCCCAACACCACAAAAAAAAAAAAAAAGACCAAGCTCATATTTAAACCTAATTTTGACTTCAAATATCTTTCTCTCTTCACATTTCACTCCTTCCCCTGAGTAATTTCTTCTTCATTAAAATTTGAATCTAATGATCTTACCCCAGGATAAGGAGGGGCTATGGAATGATCTACCACCACGTTCTAGTGATCAAAGGACTTGGGACATGTCTGTCCCCTAGCAAACCACGCCTGGCAGAGACAGTCCTGGGATTCTCTGTGCTCACCATCCAGCCCCTCTCCAAGGAGGCAGCTGGTGACTGAGATGCAGACCCACAGCTGCCTCTCTTGCTCAAGGCTCTGGGCCAGRTTAAAATGCAGGGGACATTTACAACTGTGACAGCCATTGCAACCTCAACAGGAATTGGTTTACAGTCCAGTGATGAAAGCAAGGTTTTTTTTTGTTGTTGTTGTTTCGCTTTGTTTTTAACTTTATATATATATATATATATATTTTAATTATATATATATTTATTTTAGATGGACACAATGCCTCTATTTTATTTATTTATTTTTAGGTGATACTCAGGATCGAACCCAGTGCTTCATACGTATGAGGCAAACATTTTGCCATGGAGCCACAATCCCAGCCTGAAAGCAAGTTTTTAAAGGGAGGGAAAAAGACAAAAAATGGGACAGTGGATGCCTATTTGTGGAGACCTTGAAGAGAAAGGTCAGTGACGTTGTGAACATTTCCCATTCACAGCTTGCTAGCAGGACGGGAGTTAATAACGTGACCGTCCAACAAGGCTCCCCTACAATCCATCCCAAAGCCTATTCGGGCTGAGCCCTAGCTTCCCTCTCCCGACTCTGTTTCCCCAGCTGGGATTTGGTTAGAAGCTTGCCTATTTTCCAGGAGAGAATAAAGTGCACTCCTGCAAACAAACCCAGTCTTGGATTTGAGAATGAGAGTTCCTGCTTCCCCAACACCAGTCTGAAGGGTTTGCTGACTTGAGTTAGGACACAGAAAATGAAGTAGGAACCCATAGGCAGCTCCAACCATACTTAATGACATAGGATACGAACCCGGAAACTCTCCAAACCAGGACCCTCTTCCAAGGGCAAGGTGGGTTCTGAGAATCGGGGAAGAAGCAGAGTACTTCCAGYTTGCTCATGATAGAAATTAGGCCGTTTAGATCATGCTTGGAATGTGAGATTGTGATTCTAGGTCCCACTAAGGTCTTGAGTCATAGAAGTGCTCYTTATCTTTCAAAATTTGCAAGACACACAGATACTAGAAGAAAAGAGAACACGCCCTTCACAKATGTCACTGCTGGAGCTTGAAACAACTCCATGGAGGCATCTCTGCGGATGCCTGAGCTCTGAGCAGACCTTAAATATCTCATTTTGAGATATACACAAGAGGCATCCTCAGGACTCTTAGGCTGTCTCCCTCCACCCTCAGTTCTCACATACACCCCACCCCCACACCACACAAGTGAATTTGACTCAGTAACCACACATTTGAGGAAAACACATGTATAAATTTACTATTCACTTAGTGGTAGCTAGGTAAAATCGCAGGCATAATGATAAAAAGGAAATAATCAACTTTGCAGTGCTCAGCTTCAGACCCAAGCCTGTAAAGGAAAAGAGGGGCTCAGACGCCTCAGGGACCAGGAAGTAACACAAATAAACACATCAGGCCAGGGGCAGAGTAGAAGGCTTGTGCTTACTGGGAGACTGAACCCCTACCGAGCTCCAAGTGATTGTCCTATTTTGAAAACGCAGTTCAGATTCGCCACGCCTTCTGATTGTCCAAGAGAAGTTGGGGATTCTGATTTTTAGGTGAAACCTCTGGATTCTTAGAGGGTGGCTCAATTTTCTTGAAAACACTAGGTGAGCGAAATTGAGCTGACAGCCCACTCTGCTGTACAGGTGGCGAAAGGCATGCCCCCTAACCCTGGTATGAGAATACCATTCTCCAGCCACCGTCTGCCGTTGCCACAGAGGCATCCACGATGGGGTGCTTCTGCTGTACTCTACACACATGGCGGGACCCCCGAGCCCTGGAGAACAACTAACTCTACAGGGAAAAGTGAAAGGCTCAGCTAAGCCACCCAGGATGGCAGCAGATTGGCCCTCGTGACCACCTGCTTTCCTACAGGACTAAATGGCCGACTGTTCCTGTAGGAAGCCTTYCGGGCCTGGGAGGCTTTTATCTGGCTCAGAAGCCAGGGCAGCCTCTCGAAGGACTTCCAGGTGCTCCTCAGCAGCTGACAGTGACTGGTCAATCCAATCCAGGCCTCCAGTCAGATGACAGGCATTTCTGGTCACTAGCACCAGATGACTGACAGACAGGAGCAAGGCAGTGGTCCTAGGGAAAAAAACCCAACAGGATCAGGTTTCCTAAGAAATGAGAAAATTCCCACAAAACCCCAAACAGACACACTCTAGACTAGTGTTCCCCGAGAGGTTGGTGGGTGTGGAACTGAATGGTTCCATGCTCAACAGATTTGGGTTAACAAGGTTAACGGGAGCCTGTCTCAGAGCCTTTGATGGACTAGATTATATCGTCCCTACAGTAAAGGGGGACAGTTAAACACCATGTCCCTGAATGCACCCTTTCTGTTCCCAAAACCTTAGTAAGTTAAGGAGAGGGACCAATGAGAGCAAGCTGGGGCTGGAAAGCCCAGATCCATATTATCTTGAAGGACTCCAGCTTTCTCTCATGCATGCTGGGAACCAGGGTGAGTTACTGTTATCTGTAGAAAGCTACTTTCTTGCAGGTACTCAAGGAGAGTTGCTCGTGGGGATGCTGGTCACCCAAGCAAAGTAAGCAAGCTCATGCTGATGATGTCACTGCTTCTGCAGCCTAACAGATCAAACCCCTCTGTCAGTGGTGACTGGCACAGAAGTAAAGGCACTATGGAAAGGATATGTGTCACTCATCCAGCCAGCTGCCACTGGACAAAAGATTGTGAGGAGAGGGGGTGCCGCATGGCAAAGCACCATGAGGATCTGAGGTGCTCTCTGTCAGCCTRCGCAACTGAACTCTTCTGGGAGCAGTCTCTGAGCTCCTGTGAGCTCTCCCCAATAAACCACAGCTCCCATGCTGTCTCTGGGCACTTTGGGGGGGCCTGTCTGCAACCTCCCTACTTCCCTGGCACTACTGGGCTGTGGACAAGACCCTGATAGAGATCCAGGGGAGACTGTGATATGTGTGTCTCACAGGCATTGCAGAGCATGGAAGCTACTCTCTGCAGCACACCTATGAACATCTCCCAGAAAAGCATTTCGTGAAACAGGCCAGATCTGGCCAACTCAGTGGCCGCATTTTTCCAAGTGCCACACACCTAAAGACAGGATATAAATAYGCCAACCTTGAGCACCTCTTACTGATCACCAATCAGTAAGACTCAGTTCTCATTTACCCAAACGTTTTGTTTGTTTTAAAATATTTTTWAGTTGTCAATAGATATTTTATTTATTTATATGCAATGCTGAGGATCAAACTCAGGGGCTCACACATGCCAGGCAAGCACTCTACCACTGAGCCATGACTTGAGCCCTTTACCCAAACTCTTAAAAAATAATAATAATAATAATAACTTAAAAAATCAAATTGAGGAGCTTTTCGTTTTTGTGTTTTCTTTCTTTCTTTTTTTCTTTTTTTTTAGCATTGAAAGAGTCCTTGTAAGACCCTTTTTATATATTGAGTGTGCCTACTGCATTTGGGAATGTGCTGAAGATTACTAATCTGTGGTCAAATCTAGGCTGCAGCAGGAATGAGGCAGAGAAAAGCTGGAAGTATCACTGTGTCCTGTGTGCCCAGCGACCTCACACGAGTGTCCATGAAATATAAATCAAGAGTAAAGAATTCTTTAAAGGAGTCTACATCTGGTATAGGAGCATAGAATTTCATAAAGCTATGTTCCCTGCGTATACAGGGAAGGGTCAGGAAAGAAGGGTTTCTGGGTGCCCAGTGGAAGGTATGCACCCCTGCCGCTGTCCTGTCGCCTCTGCTCACCAGCTCTGCTCAGCCGGGCCCCACAGGGCAGCACTCTCAGCTAGGTGTGTCTGCTTCTGGGGTCCAAAGATCAGAGGGAGCAGTAGGGGATGAAGGGAGGGAAGTCCGGGTGGAACGCAGCCCAGCCGGATGTGTAGTCACGAAAATTCCAAACCTAAGACTGGCTCTTTCTCCTGCGGGGTTTCTGGAAGATGACTGTGTCCACCACCCAGCCAGCCTCTGCTCCGCTTGGCTAACCATTTGAACAGAAGAGAATGTACCCCAACGTGGGTGCGGCCTTGGGAACCCAGCAGAACAGCCCTCTCTAAACAATCCAACCGCTCAACCTCACAGAGCTGATACAGGTGAACCTGAGCGGGAAATGCCAAGCCAGTCCCCCACCCTTCTCACCGTGCATCCAGGAGCTTGGGGTCCAGCGGAGGGTACATGGACTTCACGACATCGTCYACTCTGAGGGGAGACAAAAGTCAAATATTTCACTTTACTTCCTTTTCTCCTTCTCCCCTGTCTGCTGATATTCCAGGCCCACTCAGTGGTTCCTTCCCTCCTGCTTTTGCATTCTCCTATCTCCTGGCATCGGGAGGAAGTAGAATTAGGGAGCACTCCACTTCCCAGATGGTCTGAGTTTGCAGTATTTTAACTTTCACAGGCATTTATTACTTTTGTGTTTGGGGCAGAGTGCGGGAGATGTGGCTTAAGGCAATTACACAGAACACTAAAAAACAAAGTCACCAGTTTAATTTGAGTTCAAACCATTCCATTGCTTTTCTTTTACCACGTGGTTCAATCCACGGCTAAGGTTTTAAAATCAGGTTCTGATTTGTGGGATGCAAGGTTTTGCACCCTCTCCCAGCCCTGCCCCTAGCTTCTTACTTGGTTAATTTTGAGGATGGTAAAGGGCTGGTTCCTGGTGATTTACCAGAGGTCTTGGCAACAAAGAAAGCAAGGTCCCTGGAACTCAGGGAATGGCCAACTGACAGAGTTGGGTCATTGCTGGGATGAGGCACGTCCACATACCAGCCACCAGATGGCGACACAAACTTAGTACAGCCCTTTGCTCTAAGAAAAGGACTTTTTTCTTTGCAAAAGAGAACCCAAATGAGGGGGTGTAGTTGTTGACTGCAGTCTGCTGGTTGCCTTCCACGTGGGATTCTGCAGACTTGCCTGGAATCTGGGAGGTCTGAATGCTGTGGTTCACCTCCCACCCCATCCTGGAGGTTGTTGGCTGGGCTGGGCATGGGGGCAGTGAGGTCCACTGTGGCAACAAGGAAGGGGTCCCCAGGACAGACCCAGGCTGGACACAGGGCATGGCCAGGAGGTCACTGGAGACAGAGGTGTGGGCACCATTGGGAAACGCACTTGCTGGCTTCAGCAGCACCTRGCAGGATGGAGTAGCAAGAGGAGGAGCCGGAGCAGCCACCACAGAGCTGCAGAACAGGCTGTGGAGACCCGTCTCACTGGGCTGCTGAATAGGGATGGCAGCCAGGCACATTGGGGATGGCGACCCCAGGTGACCATMTTGACCTGGGAGTCCCTCTATCTAAGCCCTCCTGGCTGCCAGGGAAATATTGGGATGCAGATAACGGAAGTGGCCCACCTCCTGCTTCTTATCGGAGCCCCAACCCTGAGGTCTCCCTGGGCTTCTCTGGTGAAGTACACGGAGACTTCAAGGCCACCCATCACTCACCTGGGGCTGATCCGCTTGGCCACCACGATGATGTCACTGACACTGGCAGAAGTCTTCATCTTGGCCCCAGAGCCCATCGTCATGGCAACGAGTTTTTCCGTCAGAGTGTGACAAATCTAATGTGGCAGGGAGGACAGAAGTGATGAGGAGCGGCTAGTCCCCTCCGAGGACTTCCGCCACCCCCACGACAAGACAAAATATGCCCCCCACCCCCGGGTGCCACCACACAGCTGAACCCCTCCCCTAGCGACGGAGTTTGAGTGAGCACCAGCTCACGGAGGGCAGAGGAGATGGGTGGTGGGGAACCTCAGAGCAAGGAGGTGCTTCAGCTCAGAGGAGTCTAAGCTGAAATAATCCCTCTAATAAAAATCATGTGCCCTGATTTCACCTTCTCGCTTAGGGGGGAAAGCCTGCTTTCTCTGTCTATGCCTCCACCTCATGCTTTAGTCTTCCAAAAGGGGAATAGCTCCCGCACACACAGGGCTGGACAGAGGGCGATTGTTCCCTTTAAGCACATTCTTCAATAAGGGCACAGATTTCAACAATTTTCGAGGGTGATGATGACAGAAGAAGCAGGGGAAAGGCAAATCCACGACACAAGGATGTTTTCATCATCCACCCTCAGTGCCAGCCACCCCCCCCCCAAAGCTCAGTGCCCTCCACGCCTCCCCCAGGTGAGGGCTGAATTGGCCTCTATCCCTGCAAAGAAGTTCCGTTACCTGCCTTGGACTCGGGACTGGAAAATAAGGAGAAAAAGAAGCCCAAGGACCCAGTGGGAAAGGAGCCCAGTCCCCTCCCTTGAACTCCAGCCACAGGGATTCAAAGGCAGGTGATTAAGCAAAGGGACTTGAGATCCCAAGAGGAGGACTAGAAGCCCTTTCCTTGGATCTGGGGTCCTCCCTGGGTCCTCCCTTATACCAATCTAATAAGGCTCCTTCCAGCTAATTCATCTCCCACCACAGGTGCTATTTATCCTCCTCCTCTGACAGGTGCACGAGCCAGGGCACGAGTTAGGACAAGGAAAATGTGATATGGCTTCACTGCTCCCGTCATTATACCTGGCTATCCGTATCTACAATCCTGTCTCTAGCTAAAGTCATATTTTATACACCCAAAGAACTTCCCAGAATTACATAATAAGCCCAGGCTCCGAGGCAACCATTTCCTGCTAGTCTTTCTTTGTCCCAAAAGAGACAGCGAAAGATGTATCATTTGCATGAGRTGGGATAAAGGACTTCTTGATATCTTATATTGAATGACACTGGAGAAAAGACAAAATGATCTCTTTTGAAATTTCAAATAATAACTAGGCAAAGAGACAAAGAGAGAGAGTTACCGAAGTGAAGGAACTCACACTTGTAATTGGCCAAATATTTGAGTATTATTATGATGATATTAGGTAGGATGGTATCAGACAAGAATTGGGGAGGAAAATGCTGGAACTATAAAATTTACCCAAAATGAAAAATTGGATACAATCTTCCAAAGGATTCAGACACTCAAAGGAAAAAGTCAGGCTGGGCTATAGCTTCGTGGTAGAGGGCTTCCCTTGCAAGAATGAGTCCTTGGGTTCCATTCCCGACACCACAAGAACAAAAAAAAAAAAAAAGAGAGAGAGAGAGAAAACAATTCTTCCTACAGGTTGAAGAACTCATGATTTGGATTTTTTCCCCACTTTGTACCAGGGATTGACCTCAGGGGTGCTTAACCACTGAGCCACATCCCCAGCCCATTTTGAGACAGGGCTCCACTGAGTTGCTGAGGCTGGCTTTGAACTTGCAATCTTCCTGCCTCAGCCTCCTAGCCACTGGGATTACAGGTGTGCAGTGCTGCTCCTGGCATTATGTGGATTTTTAAACACTGATTGTCCATTTGACTGACTACTGTCACAGCCAAATTCAGTTAGTGAAGACTTTCTAATCACCGAAGTCTACATTCAGAGGCACGGGCTGTACAGGCTGGAGCTCTCTGATAAGTGTGTGCTCAGAGAGAGGCCAGAACCTGCTTTCCCTCAGCAGCCATGTGGACTTGGGTGCGTGGCTTTCCCCTAGGTTGGTAAAAGCGTGGCTCTTGCCCACCTAGGCTGACTTTCCCACGGTGTGAAGAGGACCAGATGAAATAAAACCCACAAAGGGCCTTGAGAATCCTAAAGCAAAACAGACTGAACAGGCAAGAGTGGAAATGCCAAGTGCAGAGTAAAGGACGGACCCTGGCAGAGATTCGGGGCACGTGTTGGGGTCCTTTCCAACTGTCTGTGCCTGGGGTGCACTGGGGACTGCCCTGAYGTCACAGGGAAATGGGAGTATTACCTTCAGGATGGCAATGCAGTGGGACATGAGACCCCTGGAGAGACAAGAAGAAGGYGTCATTGCTTATGCAGAGAGCTCCCCTCCCCTCCAGCTACCACCTCTGTCCCTCGCCCAGCACTGACCAGTGGGCACAGGGTACACCACCTCAGAGCAGATGCTTCAGTGTTAAAACAGACAAGGCCCTAGCCCTTCCCTTCCCTCCCACCCCCGCCACCCCACCTGGTCCTCCCACTGGCTCTGCAGACTGTCTATCAAGGCACGCTTTTCTAACTCTGCCCTCGGGTGGACTCTTCCCTCTGTCCAACAAGACCTTCCCTTAGGCTTATCCTCGTGACCTCCTTCCCATCCTTCACTCCCAAGTCAAAAGGCTCCCCTCTGTGGCATCCTTCGTGAAAGCCACCTGGGCCTCCCCACTGCAGGCAAACCTAGACACTGCCTCCTCTGGGTGCCCACTGCACCACCCGCAGAGATGACCTTCAGTTTCTACCGTGTTCAGAACGGTTCCATCTCCCTGCTATTCGAATACCTGCAGGACCGACCCGGGGCCCTACACATAATGCCCCATGACCACGTGCCCAGGGAAGGGAATGACCAAAGGGATAAAGGAAAGAAACCTCAGAGACTCCTGCTGGATAGAGAGTGCCTGAGGGATACTGGGGACCAACGCTTCTTCCTTGGAGCCTGACTGTCAAATTCGTGGCACCCCAATATAACCCAAGCACCTGGGGGTGACTTATAACAATCTTTGCCACACATCTGAGAGCCTGAGGGTTCAGGTCTACCAAACGGGAGGAGAGAGCAAGGGCAGATGCCCTATTCTGATTTCTCCCCATGTCAAGGGCAGGGCCAGGGTAGCCAGTGACAGAAGCAGAGGTCCTGGGCCTTACGAGGCATCTTCAATCCAGTCTTCATTCTCCAGAATGGCCTCGATGTGGGGGTTGGTGATGACGACATCATCCAGCTCTAACTCTGAGGGCTCCGACTGGGTCTCCATGGCTCCGATGAGGTCCACGATGGGCCTGGGAGGGAAGACCCCGTTACGGTCGTGGCCATGAGGTGAGCAGTTGGCTCCACCACACRCTCCCTACCATTGTCGTCAGGCCAGCCACACAGAGGTCTGAAAAGTAGTGAGTCCACCCCATTATGGACTAGAACCTCTAAACTTGTGAGCCAAAATAACCCTTTTTCTCTTTATAAGTTAAATATCTCGGTTATTTTGTTATAGTGATGGGAAACTGACTAATATACCCACATACCCACCCAAAGGATAAAAGGGATAACTTAGAGCAGAACCCTGTTATCCTGGATCCAAACCCAACCCTAAAGGAAACACAGCTGAGGATAGAGCATCTGGCTGAATGATGAGTTAGGGAGTCAGGCCAGGGACACCAAAAATACAAGTGGACAGAATGAGATGAGCTACTGAGAAAAAGAATAGAGCTATAATTTTATGATTACAAAAATGTATTAGGGCTACTCCTTCAGGACAAAATAATATCTTTTCATTGCTCATCATCCCTTCAATCCTATACGTCACAGACAGGCCAGAGTCCCTATTACCCAAGCCCACCTGCACCCCCTACTATGTCTGCAGAATMATTCTGGGGGACCTCCTTATCCCACCCCCAAACTCCACTCTCTCCAAGTTAGTCATCCTGGAGAAGTGAGAGAAGGAGAATCACCTCCTCCTTTATAACGGGATCTTGAAAACCCAAGCCACCATGGCATTCTTTGCAACAGCAGAGCTTTCCTAGGCCATGAAAATGGGCACTTAAAAATTATTTAACCACTCAACAGAAAAGCTGATAGAATTAAGATAAAGGTGGAACAGAAACTAAGGGTTAGTTGCCACGGTCCCTTAAGGACCTATCAATTAAAACATCCCTMAACTGAAAGTTGGATCTTCCTTACAAAAAATCCATTTCACACAAAATGTATCATGATGAAATCCGCTATGCAAAGGCAGAAACAGGCCTGGGCTGGGATTTCACGGTAGGAAGCATCTGTTACTTAGCTGTGTGGCTGAGTGTGGGCATGTGATCTTTGTTCCCAGGGGTCTGGTTGGAGAGGGATTTGATTTGTCCCACTGCTGAGATGACCAGCTTTGTACAGATGGCTTTGCCTTTATGCTAGGTGAACATGTTCAGGGACTTTTTCAATGGCTCAGTGAACAGAGAAAGATGTGGCTCAGGATGCTGAGGGCTTAAGGAATATTCTTAAGCTCTGAGGTCTTTATTGGGCAGGACAGCATATGGGTACCATTTCAGAGAGCAAACACTGAGCCAGAGTAGCCCAGCACCAAGCTATTTCTATTCCTCTCTTCTTCCTTCGGGGGAGCCCACCTCTCCTCCTCCACCTCCCCCCCCACAAGACCCACTCACTTGGAATCATACCGCTGCAGCAGATCTCKGGGCCGGCAGTAACGCTGCCTGCACACCACCACCAAGGCTGCAAACGAAGCCAGAAAGATGGTGGCCAGCACCCCTATGGCAACAATCACCACCGTCTCCATGCTTCCCGGTAGCTCCCGACTCAGTCCCGCTCACATCTCCACACAGGCTAATGCCTGAGAGAACGCCAGGTCAGGGCAGACCTAGTGAAGAAGCCAGAAAGAGAAGAGGGCTGCTGAGTCTCACCTGTCGGAAGTGGCAAATAGGAAGTGGGTAGAGTGAAGTTCCTCCAACCCATCTGCACAGATCTGAGGGACTAAAGAAACCCAAAGTGCATTATATGACATGCCCAGATTCACCTTTCCCTTTATTAAGAGTTTGCCTCCTGAGTGAACCAAGAAGGGTTGTTTGTTTTGGTACTGAGGACTGATCCCAGGGCCACTGAACTACATCCCTAGTTGTTTTTAATTTTTATTTTGGAACAGGGTCTCACTGAGTTGCTGAGGTTGGCTTCCAAACTTGGGATCCTCCTGCCTTGACCTCCGAAGTTGCTGGGATTACAGGCATGCACCGCTGTGCCTAGCTAGGATGGGTTTTTAAACCTGAGACAAAAGGAAACAATTGGCCATTAATTTTTCATATATATTTTTTAAATTGTGCATGAGAAAGCAGGKAGGAGGTGAGAAGTGTTCACTGAGGATCTCCTCTGTGCCAGGCACTTTGTGCGTTAACTCATCTAACAACGCTATGAGCTAGACATGGGTGTTCCTATTTTATAATTGGGGAAACTGAGGTTCAGGGAATTTGTCCATATTTACATAGTCAGAAAGTAGAAAGGGAAGTGGACTTCCTCTTTCTCAGGAGGAAAGAAGACTGTGGAAACTCTGAAAAGGGTTCTGATCATCATTTTCAGTGCTGGAAACTTACAAATGGTTTCAAAGCATCCACTGCCTATTGCCTGTTTTCCCTCAGGAGGCTCTTTCACCTCTACAGTTATGCATGGCTTAGCAAGAGGGATGAGTTCTGAGATTTTTGTCATTGTGCAAACACCACAGCTATGATATGATCTTACAGAACCACCTTTGTGCATAGGAATTCATCATTTAGTGAAATGTCGTACAAAGGGCATGGCTGTCTTTTTAACTCCTAGGTCAAAGGAACAAGGGCATCTCATGGAAGTACCCATTTCATGTATCCATCTGCAAAAAGGGGTGCTCTGACATGGGGGGTCTCTGTGACCTCAGGATGCCGCATCTCTTCTATCTGCATTTGTCTGTGCGTTATGTCTTAGAGGATCCAAATGCTCTTGGTTGACATTCAGTAGGCATATACTGATCATCTATAATGCACCAAGCTCTGGACTGGAGTCTGAAGATTAGAGATTAAAACAGAGAGAGTGAGGCCAATCTTAAGGAACTGGTGGGAAAGGTGAGAAAGTTAGAAAAACCATTTCAACTCCATGTGCCTGGGCTAGGGGCAGAAGCACCTAGAAAAGAGAGTAACTGCATATGCAGAACATTTTCTGGGAAAGCCTTCACAGGGACAAGTGATGCTTGAGCTGGATTTTGAAGGATGTGTAGGAGTTTGCCGGGGGACAAGGTGGGACCTTAGCTGGCCTAAAATGCCAAGGAGGTCTTCTCCACCACCGCTGCTCTCTCAGAGATGTCTCTTTCATCTCTTTTTCTCTGGTTGTGGGAGGAAGGGGTGTATCTCAGCGTCTGCGCAGCTTTTCCAGGTGGGTGGTTCTGTGTAGTGTCCACCCCACGGCCATGAGCTATTCGTCCCCCGTCCCCCCATCTCCGTCTTTGTCTCTGCGCGTCTGTTTTCCTCTCCACGCACTCTTTTCCCTTCAGCCTCTCCCGGATCAGCGTTTCTTTCCTTTTCTCGCCCCTGCCCCCAGGCCTCCCAGAGCTTCTGGGTTTCCTCTCTTTCTGTGTGTCGGAAGTTTGTTCCTCCGAGTGTGTCTGAGTTCCTGGGCTGTCCCTGCCTTTCTCTGATTGGTTTGTGCGGGCGTTTCTTTGTGCGCTTTTCTTTCTCGGTGTATTCTCGATTTCTGCAAGTTTCCCGCCAGCCCCGCTTTCCCCTCTTCGTGGTCTAAGTCCAGGAGGTTAAGCAGCCCCAAGACCCTCTCTTTCCCCTGCCGGGCCACCCCCCAACCCCAGATCCCATTCCAACGCCCCAGAGTTGGGACCCAGACGGGCATGGAGCGCGCGGCGCGGGGGTCGGACAGCAATCSAGCGCGCAGTTCTAACTTTCCGGCCCAACTTGTGCGCCCCGCGGGACAGGGACAAAGAGGCGGCGCCCCTCCCCCCGGCCGCAGCTGCCCTCGCCCCCGCCGCGCCCCCCGGACCCTCCCCACCCGGTGGGCTCCCCACGGGACCCTCCAGCTGCCGGTCCCCGAGGGAGCTCCGGCACGAGCGCTCACCCACCTGCGGCTGCGGCTGCGGCTCCCGGCGCGCCCGGTGCCTCCCGCGCCCCGCCGATGGCGAAGTCCGGGCGCCGGCCCGGGGCGGCCCTGCAGCGGGGCATGCCGGGAAGCCGCGGGCGGCGGAGGGACCCAGATGCCCTCCCCCCGGCGGCGCATCCAAATCCCCCGCTGCCAGGCGCCGCCGTCCCCGCCAGGCCCCCAGGCGGCCCGGGGGTTGGGGTGGCGGGATCGGGGCAGCTGGGAGGCAGACACTAGCGATCCCACGAAGGTTCCTCGTGCCCCCGAGGAGGCCGGGCTGGGGGCAGATGGAGGGAGGGTCCCTGCCTCCCGCGCCCACCCGGTCGGGGCTGGCCATCCAGTGGAGGYTGGGGAGCACCCACCGTTTCCACAGTGCGGCTGGTCACTGATTGAGGTTTTTTACAGTCTGCAAACTGATGGAACCACTCACTCACTAGCTGTGGGCAACTTATTTTTCTATGCTTTGGTTAGTTCCTTTGCTTGTAAGTATTTGAGTTGGTATCGGGGTCAATGACACAAAGCGCTCGGTGCATTGAAGAGTGCCTGGTCCAGGGGAGACAATGAATCAGTAGCCTGATACAGGCAGGACAGTGGCAAGAAGACCTGGCCCAAGCCAGGACTCCAAGGGGCAATTCTGTCCCTGATCCCACACTACTCCAACCTTACTGCAATGGGGGACCACTTCCTTCATAGGGACACAGCTCGGTTCTGGCTAACAGTCATCCCTTGGCCATCCTTCAGGCCTAAAGATGTTGACACCAGGTGGTACAGGTTGTGCTTGGAAGATTAGAGTCCCCCCAGAGGCCCTGGAAGCCGGGTGAGTGCTGTTTGGCCARGGATTCCCAGAGTCCAAGGTGCCAGAGGCTTGACCTAGGAGAAGACATGGGCTCCAGATGGCAGTATCCCTGACCTTCCTAAGGACAAGGCAGAGCCAGAGTAGGCTGACTAAAGCATGAGCTGGTTCCTMGTGTCCAGGTCTAAGGTCACCAGTGACAAGTACCAAGGATGCAAATTAGTTCCCAGGCAGCTTCTTGCAGCATCTGCAAATCTGTAGCCTCCAGGCCACACCCAGCCCTTGAAAGTATTTCTTTGACTCATGTTTTCTAAAACTCAAATTCATTGCCAACATTTTTGAAAACCAAGAATTCCACTTAGAATTCTAGGTTTCCAGCTTCTCTGAAAAATTTATCAAATCTCCCAAAACTCAGTCCACATTCTGCCGGCAGTAAGAGAAGAGCTACTGCTGTCCCGGGCTTGCTCTCTGGTCCCCGGCCCTCCTCATTGCCCAAACAACATAAGCACATTCATTCACACCCTATTTGCCTGGTCCTGTGGGCAGCTGGGCTTCCCCATCACTGGTGCTCAGGGAAGAGAAGGCTGAAGGGTTTTCATGAGAAAACTGCTGAGCCTGACTTCTGTGTAGGGAAAATGGGTTTACTGTAAAACAGCAAACATTGGAAAGGGTGACTGGGGACAGTCAGCGTCTCCGTTTCTAGGAGATTCTCTGAGATGAGCTGTTTCTAGTTGTCTTGGGTGGTTAGACATTCCATGGTGTTAAGAGATGAAGCCAAACCACAAGATCTTTCGTGGCCTCTTCCATGTCTGGGGCTCCAACACTGTACAAGATATATAAAAAGGAAGCTTTAGCCCCGAGGAGTTTATAACACAAGTAGAAACGATGTGTACAAYTAAAAAACAAATTATATAAACAAGTAAATAATAGCTCAGTTGCTGCCTGGAGCTGACAGCATTCATGCCCCAACAAAACAACCCAATGCCCAGCTGCCAGCAGAACAGGGTTGCAGAAAGGTTGTGCTAGGTGCCCTTTCCTAACCAACCGTCTCCCATGTTCTAGCAACTCCCACCATCCCARTCCCCTTGAAGCCTCTCTGGATTAATTTGAGATCTTGTGAGATACTCAGTTTTCTTATTTGTAAACAACAGGAACTATTGCCCACATGAACAGGGGACTTATGGGCAGAGCATGGGGTGCCCACAGAATCATCAGGAAATGGAAGACACAGGTTAGGAAGTGGGGCTGAGTATTGCTGCCCTAAAATGATTCTGACCCTCTTTCCAACATTATCCTTCACTCCAGATTCTGAGTACTGGATAGGACCCGACCCTTCCTGCCCCCACAGGGGGTGGTGAGGTACAGGCACTGTCCTGCCGGAAAATATAGCTAAAGGCAAGGTAGTTACCCCCAAATAGGTAAGAGGGATAGTTTCCAGATTGCTCCCCAAAATTCAAATACACTACATATGGTCTCTTATTACCAAGTCTAAACATCGACAGAGACACTAGGGTCCCCAAATCCAGAGCCGAACCTGGTGATTAGGGAGAAGCCAGAAGACTGGAAATGGTGCAGATCATGAGAAGAGGGAAGAGGCTGGACTCCTGGATGGTGGGTGCAAGCTCCTGCTTCACCCARGCAAGGAGTGGACATTTATGGGCACCTACTGTATATGCGTTAGACATTGATTAGGCATCTGATGCACCTTATGTCTTTTGATCCTCTCACCAACCTTGAGAAGTCGGTATGATTATGTTTATAAGAGAAAAGAGCCTCYGAGGGGTAAGGCAACTTGCCAGCTATCCAGAGTAGGACAGGGAGTGGAACTCAACACCCCCTGGCCCAGACCACCAAGCCAGGAACCTGATAGCTCTTCCAACAACCTGGATATTGGAACAGGGCAGATTGTCAGCTGCAACAGATAGAGCCAGTCTCTCCTCAACACATACTTCATCCTCACAAATGCACTTACTCTGGCCCTGGGTGGGAGCTAGGTACTGTTCTTCCTGCAGTAAGTCTACTCTACTAGTCCCACTTTGACATACTTTTGCTTTGTTTTTTCTTCTGGTAGCAGCTGCATCATCGTGTCAAGGTCACGAGTAGCTCCTGGGTGATTCTTTTGGCAGCACCTCATGCTGTGCTTTTTACTAATAATAAGCGGTGCCAGCATTGCTTGGCTATCTGGATACCGAGCACCAAGGTACACCATGCTTATGCACTCAGAGAAGCTGAGTATCAAGGCAGAGGTGGAAATTCAGGAGTGRCACAGACAGGTGTCAATCACCTGCCTTCCCCTCCACCCCCAGCGCATGTCTCTGGGCAGCAGCTCCTTCCTTCTTCTCAGATAGCACTAGTCTGGCCCAAYAAACCCCATCCTGTCTCAATGCTAAAAGCTTCTGGCATTGTCTWTAATCCACACTAAACCCTCAGCAAAACAGCCTCCTTTACCCTACCAGAGAGGTGAAGRAGAACAGAAGCCTGAGTCAGAAAAAGCTGCAAATTGAGGCCTTTTTCCCCTGCTTGCTAGCTGTGTGAKCTAAGATTAGTCCCTCGGTCTCTGTTCTCATCTGTAGAATGGGATAATAGCAAAGCCTGTGGCCTGCAGGAGTTTTGAGGCTGAAATGAGACAGCATGTCAAATGTTCGGTCACACAGAAAGTGAATGGGGGTTGCCAGTGCCCGGGGAAAGGAATGAGGAGTTACCATTGAATGGGTGCCAAGTTTCAGTTTAGGAAGATTAAAGAAAGTGCTGCCAGTGAATTGTATGCTTACAAGTGGTTTAAACGGTAAAGCATGTTTTGCATATTCTTTCACAAGTAAAACGAAGTGCTCTTTATAGCATGACATAGAAAAAATGGGACCTCCTCGGTGTTTCTCAAACATGCCAAGCTCAGCCCATGTCAGGGCTCGGCTGTGCCCTCTGCCTGGAATCCTGACTCTGTCATTCCCAYGACTCCCTCCCTCCCTTTGCCCAGATGTCTGCTCATGTCACCTCCACCGAGGAGCCCTCTATAACAATTCCTGTCCTTCATGCACCCCAGACTTGGGCACTTATCACTGCCTGACATTTCCCTGATGCACCTGTTCATTATTTGTCTTCTTTCAGAATCTAAAGTCTGCAAGGGCCATGTCAGTGTTCTCTGCTGACCTCCAGTATCTGGAACAGTCCCTGGCACTTAGCATGTGCTCAGTAAGACCTTATGCAAGGAATGAAAATAAAATTGAGCCATCTGCACTTGGCTTTCTACCGTGGAGACCGGAGATAGGAACTCTAGACCCTCGCCCAGCCCTGGTAGCCTGCTGGGTGCGGCAGGAGGGGGAAGCCCTGGGAAACTCTCAGAGAGGGGGAGGCACCAGCATAGGAAAGAGAAGGAAGGTTGACCTGAATTAAAGGATCCTGAYTCTAAATCCCTGATTTGACTCTGAGTCCATGCTTGTTTGAAGTGCTGCTCKGGGCCCTTTTATGGACTAGTGAATGGTTTTCCAAGGAAAGTGACGCAGCTAGGGAAGGGTTTGTGTACACAGATCAGGGCTTCTCTGAGCTGTGGGCGTGGACCGAACCCTTGCAGGAGCGGAAAGCCAGCAAACACTCAGGACTGCTAGGGCTTCCTGGAGCAAGGGGCAGGAGCAGGAAGCAGGGAGAAAGTGAGGGTTGGGAGGAGCCTTGGGAGCTAGCTGCAGGGGCATTCAGGCTGAGTTTGCATTTCCTCTCAGTTAAGGCAGCTGAACCAAAGCACATAGAGACCCTCAACAGGGATTTCCCCAGGGGACATTAGGGCATGTGCACCCAGGCCATAGGGGACATCTAAAATCTTCAAAAGACTTTTCCAAAAGCACTCTATAGAGATTATACAGCCTTCCTTTCCATTTTAATATTTAATATTTAGCCTCTTTGGAGCAAATGAAAATCTCTCTTGCTCTAAATATTTAGGGAGTGATGGGTAGATGTACATAAGGGGAAACAGCACCTCACGTTTTATTTAATGCAGCTGAAGTTGGTTTAAGAATGGGTTTAATGCTCTAAATAAAATCATTTGCATTTCTGGCTTTAAATGTGATCCAAAAGCATCTCCTCCCTTTAATGTTTCAGCATGATCATATTCATTTATAATCACTGTCATTTTTCAAACTTTATATATGTCGGGTACTGTGTTGGGCACGCTATCTAGACTACATAATTATTACAATAATTTCTTATAATCGATCATTCTATTGTTAATAATAGATTATCCTCCCTGACCCAGAAGTTATATACATTTCTACAGCTAGTAAGTGAT